TTAACATTGGTTCCTATATTTTTAAATATGACTATAAGGATTTAATAGTAGCTAAAGTGTACATAAATTCCGTTACTTCTCTTACTAACTTGATAAAAAATTAGTAGAAGGAAAAAATAAGCAAGCAAGGCATCAAAGGCAAAAATTAGTTTGAACATTACTCACTTTATCATGATGTTACCAACTTAGCAATAAAATTAATAGAATTATATACATATTAGTGATTTAACTAATTCATCAATGATGATAAGTACAAATATTGCATACACATAAAATATAAGGGACTAGAAGCAATGAGAAAAGTTTAAAGAATAATACCAAAACATGCTAAAAGTACAATGACCAACAATTATATCTTTCCATTAAAATATCAAATGCAGAAGGAATTATATTCTGTCAAAATTATAAATAGTATGAGGATGACTCATTCCAAATTGGGAAAATAAAATAAAACTCCCTTGAATCTCAAATTATATAAATGACAGTATGATCTCTTAAAATATTATAATTCTACTGAAGTCCCAAAAAACTTCTATATTAATAAATTTTAAATTAAAAAAATTATTTTACTTTTATTGATGAGTTGTGATTAGGGTTTGTTATTTTGAAAACTTATTTTTCAATAACAAAAATTACAGTTGATAAGTTATGATTTTTTATTCAACTATTGCTACTCACAAAGCAAACATTATTATTCCTTAAACAAAAGTTATGATCAGGACTTGTTCTTCAATAATAAAAATTACAATTGAAAAGTTGTGATTTCTTCTTTAACTCTTACGATTCACAGAATAAAAGTTGTTATTCTTGAAGCAAAATTTATAATTGGTGCTTGTTATTTTCATTAAGGGTAAAAATATTATTTTCACTTTAAAATTTATTGACATAAAAGTTTATAGGAATTTGAGTGAAATTATTATATTTTAAGAAATTAAATTATTATTTATATAATTCGGAAGATTTTATTGTCATTTTCCCTTCTAAATTTGTAATAATAGCAATATATAGAAAGATGAGGAGGTTGATGTGCCAAAAGCCCAAAAGTCATTCTTATTACTACACCAACCATGGCGATGAACACGGTTTAACAATCACTGAAGAGAGAAGTAATTCAATGCTTGACTTCAAAGTTGTACTCAAACATTACTTAAAATAGAAATCAAATAAAAAGCATTACTTTGTATACCAATGTGAACTTAATTATTCAAACTCTCACGTAATACGAGAACATAAAAAATGTGTCCAAATATATCTTTTTTTATTATTTAAATATTGACCAGTTTCAGGAAGCTACATTGAGATTCTCACTAATTTAATTGAGCTTATTCGAATCACATGGGTGCAAAGCATAGTATTTGTTGCACATCTATTATACTTATTTATTTATTTAAATTTTAGTTAGATATTATAATATTTAAGATATCTTTTTGAATAATAAAATATAGTAATAAAATATTCTAAATGCATATGACTTGGAAATCAGATGGCTGAAATCTAAGTTTAGGGATTTATTCAATTTAAATTTAATTAATTACCTTGATGATGTGTTATAAAGAGGGATTTATTCAATTTAAATGTCTAAATCACTATAGTCATTTACTGAACTAAAATTATGAATTACAGAACCAAAGTTGTAAATGTAAAAAAATTTATTATACTTTTCTTATTAAAAAAATGATGAAAGTTATTAATGTTTAAACCAATATATATAGTCATTAGTTCAACTAGAGTTGTGGATGTCAAAACTCCAGTTTTGAACAAAAAATCTTTGTTGCAATTTTTTAAATTAAAGAATATTTTTGTTGTTTTATCAAAAACTTTGATGACAATTAGGTCTCTTAAAATTTAAAATATATTATCATATTTTATGAGATCAAATTATCGTTTCCTTATTTTGATGGGATTTATTTGCATTTTCTCAAAGAATAATATGCTTCACCCGAAAAAAAAATAATAATATGCTCTTATTGGAAAATCGAGTCAGCGTCATGTGTAGCCATAATAAGTGTTCCAAAACATTATTTTTTGTCCCAGTTACATCGCATGCATGTAAATTGTGCTTGTTTTATTTTTATTGTTGTTGTTGTTGTTATTTTATTGAAGATTTATAGTAAAGTCTCTGGATGTATAATTAATTTATTTACCTCACCAAAACAATTAATTAATTTATTCCCAATCATGTGCTCGTATCAATGTTCTATCAACCAAACGTGTTTAGCCGGAAAAAAAAAACGAAAAACTAAATGTGTTTTCCTCCACATTATTTAACCTATTATAACATGTTATTCATCAATACAGTAAAGCATAATGATATGAATAATACTGTAGATAAATAGTTGTTTAAGACTTTAAGTATCATTGGTAGGTCCTGGGTTCTTACTTTCTTTTCGCGTGTTTAGCTTTTCCGAGGAATTATTAAGAACACATATAAGATAAAAAAATTTATAAAAAAGAATTAAGGTATTTCAAATAAATTAAGATTAAGTGAATTAAGGTAATATTCTTAATTCAATTGAAAGATCTTAGTTCTTTTTTTCTGAATAACCTTACGTGATGATCCTTCTTGCCTAGTTTCCCTTTTTTAACAAAAAAAAATTTAAATCTATATTTTTAAAATTTAGTTTTTTAGATTGATATTTTTTTATTGCACGCATGAATCATCTCAATCAAAAGTAATTATGTTTAAGACACTGTCTAACACTAAACGTAAGCAACTTTTGTTGTAGGAATTTGTTTTATATTGTTATTTTATAAAATGATATCAACATTTTTTTTATTTATGTAGTTTTTATGAAGGAAAAAAAATATTTCTCCTAACTTAAGCCCCCTACTATTTATTAGAATATTGTAGATTATAGAAATATTCATCTTCTTTTACACTTCCTTCAAAACTAGCACATGACAATGAACAAGCATGAAACTGGATAATAGTATTTTAGATGAATGATAGAGTTTGTAATTTTAGTGTCAACAGAATCTGATATGGCTTCTATTTGTTGCTAACTTGTTCAATAGGCCAGCAAGGCTCTTCTTACTTGACCCTTGAGATGACGGCGACGAAGGTTCCGGCGAGCTGCCCCGCTTCTCTCCAATGACTACTCTTGCCGGCTCCGGCGGCGGCTCTGATCCAATAAGGTTTGGGAAATTGAGCTTGGCTTTTCTGCCATGCATCTTGAAAGCAGCTCTATCATAAGCCAAAGCTGCGTCCTCCTCGCTCTCATAGGTTCCGAGCCATGTCCTTGCTTTCCTCTTCGGGTCCCGGATCTCCGCTGCGAACTTCCCCCATGGCCGCCGCCTCACTCCTCGGTAATTGCTCCATCGAGATGGCGCGTTCTTTTGACACGCCACAGATCCTGTGTTATTACCAGTAACGTTATCATGGTCATAGCCACCTGAATTCAAGCCGTCGTCATTATTCCCGCCCGAAAATGACATACCACCGGAGTCACTAATACATACACACTAGGGTCTCTCTTTTCTTGCTCTATAACTCCATTTTTTTCTTCGTTAATTCTCTCTGCTGCACACAGTAGCTGATGCACATGCATATTTATAATTGAGATATGTCGGTTAAAGTATTTACCAAACGGTATCTAGAAATTTCACTGCTCCACCACCATTGACTTGCTTCGGGAGAGATGAGAGAAGTGTCCAGATTTTTCTTTAACAAATATCCTATCCTTATACAGTCTAGAATGAGATATTATCACCAAAAATTCTAGAGAGAGAGAGAAGTCGGTGATTCTCAACGCCAGTTACATCACATGCATGTAAATTGTTCTTGTTTTATTTTTATTATTGTTGCTGCTTTTTTGTTGATGAATTATAATAAAGTCATTGGATGTATGATCATCTCTGTTTTCTGAAGCTAGCTTCTGAAAGAGTTGTTCGCTAATTTAATTAAATATATTATAGTAATAATTAATTAATTTATTTCACCAAAAAAATTAATTCATTTATTCCCAATCATGTGCTCGTAGAACTTGCAAATCAATGTTCTATTCTATCAATCATATGTATTTGGCCAAAAAAAAAACTAAATGTGTGTTCCTAAACATTATTTAATCTATTATAACATGTTTCTTATTCATCAATACAGAAAAGCATAATGATTACATAATAATGTAGATAAATAGTTGTTCAAATAGTAGAAGAAATTATACCTTGGTCTCACATGAAGAAATTTATCATTAAGAGATCTATAAAATTTATAAAATGCTTTCAAATTTTAAATCCTGTATATTTACAACCTAATCATGGGCATTGATAATTGGATAACACTTATTTATAAGTTGTCAATATTTTGAATCTTGAGAATATTTTGTAAATTTTATGAAATTTTTTGATAATAAATTTTCTTATTGTGACCCAAATATAAGTTTTGCTAAATAGTATTAGTGGGTACCAGCCTCCTAGGTTCTCACTTTTCGCGCCGTGTCTAGCTTTTTCTGCAAAATTATTACAATCACATATAAGATAAAATTTTTTATAAAAACGAATTAAAATATTTCAAATAAATTAAGATTAAGTGACTTAAGGTTACATTCTTAATTCACTTGAAAGATCTTAGTTCTTTTTTCCTAAATAACCTTATCTTATGATCCTTCTTACCAATTTTTCCTTTTTTACCAAAAAAAAAATGTTTTTTTAAATGTGTATCTTTAAAATTTTGTTTTTTATATTGTTAGTTTTTTATTGCACACATGAATCCTCCAAATTAGAAGTAGTTATGTTCAATACACTATGGGACATTAAATATGAGCATTTTTTTAGTGAGAATTTTTTTTATATTTTTATTTTATAAAATGGTATTAACATATTTTTTTTATTTATGTAGTCTTTATCAAGTAAAAAAATATTTCTCCAAACTTAATCCCCTACTATTTATTAGAATATTATAGATTATATAAATATTCATTTTTTTTTTCATTTCCTTCAAAACTAGTACATGAATGTGAACAAGCTAAGCACGAAACTGGATAATTTTGTCAACTTTAGTATCAACGGAATCCGACGTGGCTTCCATTTGTTGCTAACTTGTTCAATAGACCGGCCAGGCTTATCTTCTTACTTGACCCTTGAGATCCATCATCCTCGGATGTACAGTTAGACGGCGACGAAAGTTCCAGCGAGCTGCACCGCTTCTCTCTAATGACCACTCTTGCCGGCTCCGGCGGTGGCTCCGATCCAATAAGGTGTGGGAAATTGAGCTTGGCTTTTCCACCACGCATCTTGAAAGCAGCTCTATCATAAGCCAAAGCTGCGTCCTCCTCGCTCTCATAGGTTCCAAGCCATGTCCTTGCCCCGTTCCTCTGCGGTTCCCGGATCTCCGCAGAGAACTTTCCCCACGGCCGACGCCTCACGCCTCGGTAATTCCTACATCTAGGTGGCGCGTTCTCCTCACGCGCCACAGATCCTGCATCATTTCCCTTTAACCCAATTATCACCACCTGGTTCCACAGTGTGGTCGTTCTCGCCGGGAAACACCGTACCACTGGAGCTAGCAGCTCCCTGATCCACCGAAGCCGTGTCGCAGTTCAAGTTGGAAGTAGGGTTGCCGGTCGTCGTGAAGTAGCCATTCATGAGAGTCATGAACGAATAAGGATCATCTTCAATCAGGTAATGTTGAACTGATTCAAAAGGAGAACAATTAGGGTTCATTTTGAGAAGTTAATAAGTTTGATGAGAGCACAGAAGCGATGGATTATGGATCTGTGAAGCATGGGTTTTTATGTATATATGTGTATGTATGTATGTTTGCATAGTGACTACCTAAGAAGCACCGATACGGGTACAAGTGTCGGGTACGATATGATACGATACGCGGACACGGCTATTTTTCAAAATTTTAGGATACAGGTACGACTATATAAATAATTAAATATTAAATATTTGGATGTTCAAAAACATAATTTCAAGATGTCTAATGCCATCACAAAATATAATATAATAAATAGTCAAGCACTTAAAGTCTTAAACACTATCAAGTGACAAAAAATAATTATCAACTTAAAGTAATTCTAAACTTCCTCATCTTCATTGACACCATCACTTTCTTCTATAAGTTTTCTCTCCAAGATTTTCTTCTATAAATTCACACTTCCTGAACTACTATCGAGTTTAGAATTAGAAGTCATTGCAGGTTTAATTTTAAATAATATCCTGCAATTTTAACAAGAAGAGAGCTAATAAAAATTTAAAATAAATCAATATTTAACTCAATAAAATAATCCATCTAAATAAAAAAAATTTAAATCAGTAATTCAATTGCTCTAGACAACTCTCTCGGTTCAGCAGTGAGCAAATTATCCAATAATGTAATAATAATAATAATAAAATATCCATCAGCAGCACACAAATTATCCAATAATGCAATAATAATAATAATAAAATCTCCATCAGCAGCATAACAAGAGGAACTGAAAATGAAGCTGAAAAACGACCGACCATACAGAATAAATTACCAATGAAGCTGAAGAACGACGGTGAGGTAGAGGCAGAGCAGATGGTCGAGAATCAACGTGAATTGTGAATAGGTAGAGGCAGAGCAGAGCGGGTGAGGCAGCGACGCAGCGTGAACCATGAATAAACGTGAGAGATGAAGAACGAGAATTAGAAGCACAGGCGGTGAAGCTACAGCAGAAAACATGAGAAGGGGGGTCGATTGGAGCTGAAAATGTTAGGGCATCGGATTTTTGGAGTTGGGACTGAGTAAAAGGAACTGAAAAACGCAAAAAAATGTCCGACCCGCTTCTGCCCGTCTCGACCCGCATCCGCCCTCGTCAGCCGGAAACTGGGAAAAGGGACACGCCGTTCCCCCGTCCTGAATGCGTGTCCGTGTCGGATACGTATCCGACACGGACACGCCGGCCATTTTGCCGTGTCCGTGCTTCTGAGGTGACTACTGACTTGTGTCCTTAGTAATGATGATGTTGTGTAATTATTGTTTCCTGGAAATTTCAACTGTGTCAATTTGGAGTAGCTGTGATCGCGCATGTGGTTGGTTCATTGCTTTAATTTGTCGTGTAACAAGCAGCATGACAGAAGCAATATTAATCAAATTATACATATTAATAAAGCTTATGAGATATATTTTATAAATATATTTTTTAAAATAAAAATATAAAATTTAAAAAGTGTATATTCCATTTATCAAAGAATATCAAAGAGAGATAATATAATAGGAAAAGTAATATTAAAAAAAATCTTATTTTTGTCAAAACATCTTATATTTTGGAGCAACTAATTTTTACCAAAAATATCTCATAATTTGGGATGAAATGACTACTATTCATAATAAAAACAAATAGTCTTTTATATTATAGATTTATGGTCAACCACAAACTACTCCAATAGCAATGCCGCCTCTTTTTTTCTCAGAAGTGGTCTCAAACTTTATCTCATTATTGACATGTTTGTATGTATATGTACTTAATTTGATTGTATATGACAAAAAAGATATGACTTCTTGGAGAACTCTAGAATGCTTAAGCGATTTTTTATTTTCGGTAGAGATTAGAAATAAATATTTTTATTGACTGTCTCTAAAGTTATCATTTAATAATTAATATTCTTATTATGTTTTGTTAAAAGTATGAATATTATTTTTTTAAATTATTTTTATTTTACTTTGAAATGTTGAAGTATTAAATGAATCCCATTTTTTGTGTCGGTTTAATACTTTAGAATAAAGTCACGCGTTAATGGACAAACACGAGAATATTTAGCTTCCCAATACCCCGTCAGGGTGTGTTTCAATGCTCATAAAATTTCAAATATCCAAATTTAAATTTTTTTTATTTCTATTAAAATTAAAATTATAAAATGATAATAAATTTGTTTTATTTTCAATATAAATAATAAAAATTTAATTTAAATGATTTAATTTAATATTATATATATCAAAATAAAAATTTATAAATTTTTTTAAAAAATACTATTAAATTTAGATTGTTTAGAGTGCATTTAGATAATTAATTTAAAAAATTTTAAAATTTTTAATATTTAATTAAACCATTTAAATTAATTTGGTGATAAAATAAATTTATTAAAAAATTTTAAATTTTATTTTAATAAATATAAATAAAAAAACGTTTAAATCAAAATTGTTCAGATCTCATTAGTCAAGTGAGCAGCACACGATGCCCAGCACCCCCAACCAAGTGGGACAACATCAACAACATTATTTTCGGAACCTACGTGTCAGCAAACAGTGTTTTATGTTTTATTATGATATTATTTTTCTTCTTTTTTAAAGCAGCTTTTGTTACTAAAATAAAAAAATGAAATTTATTGCAAAAATTTACGCTATTAATAAGTCATGAGTAATATGATGAATGATTAATATAATATTCATGTATTTTTCAACACAAGAAGCCCATATATAATCAAACTAAATTTTATTGGCATTTTAAGATTTACTAGATTAAATTAGAACTTAATAATATTGGATGTTTTAATATTTGAATTTTTAAATTTCACTGATTTTTAATTTGGAAAAAAATTGAACAGTATTGTACAGAATAAATATACACTCTTAATTCATTCCTAAAATGTTCGACTTGCTATCACAATCAAACCAAACACATTGTATTTAATTAGGTTCAGATTTGAAATTGAAAAATGCCGCGTTGAATATAAATATAGAGACACTATTTATATGAATATAAATGTCACATTTTCCCGTCTATGTTGTTCAGGAGAATAAACTTTCGGTGGTTAGAGAAAAAGCCATATAAAATGTGGCGTCACGTGGCCTCCACTTCATATGTCCTTCTCTTGTCCATATTTTTCTTCGAAGATAGGAGAAATATGGAGGGCGCTGGTTGACAAAGTTAAATTAATTTATCTTAGGATTTTAAGTTTGAATTTTAAGATATATGATCACGAAAATAAATATACCAAATGCATTTTTAAAATATTCATGAGGCTGCAGTGGATAATAATAATCCTATATAGTGGAGTTTTGGATTAGATTGGGGCAAGAGTAATAATACTTCTAAGTTTTCCAAAACACGGAAGAAAAGATGGGATAAAACATCATGCTCACAGTTAAATGACAAAAAGATGCTCTTGATGTTGGATTGTTGGATATGTAATCTCACAACTTAGTTTTCAAAAAATCAATTTAATAATAGTTAGATCTTAATATTTTTTTAGGGTGAATTGCTTAAAAAAAAAAAAAGAACTCCTCGAGAGAAAACTTGTTGTCAGAGATCAAATCAATTTTAAGGACTAAATTGATTTTGATATTTACAAAACATCATAATGAAATGACTGAATTGTGCCTCTATGTTAAACTAACATAGTTTTTTTTTAAAAAAAAAACACTGATTCTTCTCACACATTCCCTAATAAGAGAACCACCAGAGAGACAAAGGAATGATCGACTGTGACAAACTGTGTCAATGAAGAAGCAACCAATGGTGTGAGCGAGGACATGATCGGACGAGGCATTGCTTTGTTCTTTTAACACAAAGGCACAATTCGGTCACTTGGTTAGAGTGCTCTCTGAATATTAAAGTTAGTTCGGTTCTTAAAATTGATTTGGTCCCTGACAACAATTTTCTCTTTGAGGAGGTTTTTTTTTAAGCAATTCACCCTAAAAAATATTATCATCCAACTATTATTAAATTGATTTTTCGAGGATCAAGTTGTGAGATTGCATGCCCAACATCAAGAGCATCTTTTTATCGTTTTAATCAGCACGTTTGCTACTCTATGTGAGCATGACGTTTTCTCCCATCTTTTCTTGATTCAATCACCTCGTGTTTTGGAAACTTGAGAATATTACTATTCCTGTCCAAATTGAACGGAAACTCCACTATGTGGGACTATTATTATTAATAGTGATTTCACAAATACTTTGACAATGCATTTGGCATATTTATTTTTCATGACCATATATCTTAAAATTTAAATTTGAGATCCTAAGATAAACTAATTTAATTTCGTCCACCAGGGTGCTCCATATTTCTCCTATCATCCTGCACATATATGAATTGGAGGCCACGTGAGTTCACATTTTATTTGTCTTTTTCTCTCACAAACAACAGTTTATTCTCCTGAACAACATAGACCGGACAATGTGACATTTATATTTTATATTGATATAAATAGTGTGTTTATGTTTATTGCCAATGCGACATTTTTCAATTTTAAATCTGAACCTAATTAAATACAATGTTCTTGGTTTGATTGTGATAGCAAAGTCGGATAATTCATCTTGAAGGGCCTACACATTTTTTTTTCCAAATAAAAAATTAGTGAAATTTAAAAATTCAAATATTAAAATATCCAATATTATTAAGTTCTAATTTAATCTAGTAAATTTTAAAATACCAATAAAATTTAATTTGATTACATATGGGCTTCTTGTGTTGAACAAGACATGAATATTATATTAATCATTCATAATATTGTTCATGACGCATTAATAGCGTAAACTTTTGTACTCCTTTTATCACAAATTATAAAATACTTTTAGATAAAGTCTCACATATCAATAAATTTTATTAAATGTACTTAACAATCTTATCTTTTTAAAATAAAAATATAAACTTTTCAAAATACCCATCATTTAATATATTGAAAAGAGAAATGATAGAAATTAATTATAGAAAGAGAGGGTAATATTGAAATTGATATATTTAATAAAACTTTAACCTACTTAGAGTGTCTTATATTTTAACACGAAGAAACTCCTTCAAAAGTGCCTATAATTTGGGACATAGGGGGTAATAAATTTCATTTTTTATTTTATTCTAGTAATAAAAGCTGCCTTAAAAAAGAAGAAGAAAAAATTAATCTTTTAGTCCTCTAACTTTTAATTCACTTATAACTTAATCCTTTAGCCATAACTCGTTGCGACTCAATTCCTCAACCATGACTCACCTATAACTCAGTTTCTCAACTTTTTGCTTATTTATAATTCAGTCCCTCAATTTTTATTAATTTTCTTTTTTCATATTAGCTTAAATCTTGTATCAAAGAACAAGATGAGGGTATTTTAGAATAATATATGAGCATCTCTTTTATCCCTCTTATTTGATAAGGAAATTTGAACAAAAAATAAAAAAATAAAGATTGAATTATAAGTGAATAAAAAATTGAGGGATTAAGTCACAGTGAATTATAGTTGAAAAACTAAGTTATAAGTAGTTAAAAGTTAAATGAGTGAAAGATTAATTTTTTCAAAGAAGAAATATAAAATCACAATAAAACTTAAAATACTATTTGCTGACACGAGGGTTCCAGGAAGCTACAGTGAAGATTTCGACCACGTGCTGAAATTCCTTGAAATTAGAAAATATGTTGTTGATGCTCGTGCTCACTGCTAGACTAAGAAGATATAGGAAAAATGACAATTAAGGACCTCTAAGCATATTAATTTTAAATAAGAATCATAATATTTTGAAATTCTAGTTAAGGATTATGGTCCTTAATTGAAATAAAAAAATATAGTTTGTGAGGTGGGATTCACTAACGTCACTTAAAAATTCATTAACCCAACTTGAAAAAATTCCTAACATATATGATGAAAGGATAAAATTTTATTTAAAAGTTGATTGTTTAACAAAAAGCGTCACTTAAAAATTAATTAACCCGACTTGAAAATATTTCTAACGTATATTGTGAAAATATGAAACCTCCACTTGAGAATCAATTATTTAGCAAAAAACTCCAATTTGGATAAGTTATTTTTTTATTAAACAATCGATTGTGAAGTGTAATTTTATCTTTTCACAATATATGTTAAAATTTTTTTTAAATTTAGTTAGTAAATTTTTAAGTAGTACTTTTTGTTAAACAATCAATTCTCAATTAGAGTTTCATATTTTCACAATTTACGTTAAAATTTTTTTTAAATCGGGT